CATTCCATTGTAAAAAATGAAATATCTACAAATGTTCCCAGAGATCCTTGTAGAGCAAAATTATCCATAGTAGAGACCTTCTATTTTAGTGTAAACTCAAAAAGAAGAGGTGTACAGTTTCCTTTAAAATTAATGAAAGCATCTAGAGATTTTTATAAAGTGGTTCCATTAATTCCGTATTTAAGGCAGCCCTGGCAAAAGTTAGCAAGACCCTGTCTCATAAATAAAGCTGGGTGAAGTGGCACATGCCCATCATTACAGTTACTCAGGATGAAAAGGTTGGAGGATTGTGGACTGAAGCTGGCCTTGACAAAAATTGTGAGACCATATCTGAAGAGGCTAAAAGGTCTGGAGGCATGGTTAAAGTCACACAGTGGTTTCCTAGCAAGTTAGCCCTGGCTTGAATCCCCTGTACTGCAAAAGAAATACATACATACATAGATACATACATAAATGGAAAAGGGGGATAAAAAGCCAATCCCTGTAATTTAACAGAGTACAAGAAACATGAACTTATTGAATTACTAAAGTGTGGTTTAAACCATGGAGGAAAGAGCCTTCTGATTTATTATTGTGCAGCTTAATAGAGCAACTCCTCTGAGTTTTAGTTTCACAATTTGTACAATGAGGACAAAGGAAATTTTTCCTGTTTTGCTTTATGAAGGATTTCCATAAGTGAATGCATGTGGAACACTATCATCAATAAGTATTATTTACTAAGCATTTAGTCATTATTTGATATTGTTAGAAATAGCTCTGATTACTAATTTGTTATTACAGAACACTAGTAGTCCCAAATATTAGCTAGAAAAACATTTCAAAAAAGCATTATTAATGCATTCAAAAATATTTCACTAAGCCCTAAGAATTCTTCTTGAGCCAAGGATATATTAATAAATAAAATAGAGATGACCTCTGTCCTGACTAGTTTACCTTCCCAAATGTATGCTAAGCACTTTTCTAAAGATAATCTTGAAGTATGATAAATTGAATACTCCAATGCATTAGAATGTTATAATGTCACAGTTTTCTTGAAATAATTGATCAAATGTGTATGAGTACGGTACCATGTTTGTTTTAGGAACTATATGTTTGATAAATTAATGAATCACTTGAATTATTCACAAGAAATAATGTTTGTGAACAAAAATAATTGTCAAGATAATATTTTCATATCAACCATAGATCATGTAATACTATGAACCAATATAGTTTACTACTGTTTTAAATTTTAAATTATTTTTTTTCATTCAATATATCATATAATATGTAATAATACAACAAGTATTTCTTGTTGGTGGATTGCCCAAAATCCATAACAGGTTAAATGTTACTTTTATGTAACCCCAATACTTGCTATAATTTGTTAAGTACAGAAAGAATAGGTGGGATTTCATTGGTAAAACATTTGATTTATAGGCTCTTTACATTCACCTACAAAATCTTTACTGTTGCATGGATAAATGTTGTCGAACTACAGACCTTAAATGCCTTTAGTGTTGTGCTTTTAAGGATATACATTAGGTGATTTAATAGTAACTTTGCCCAAATTCTCTCTCATCTAACATATTTGTTAAGAATATAGAAAATCAATTCCCCTGAATCAATATGTTTACTCTGATTCTAATCCTAAATCACACAAATGGGCCTGAGGTCCTTACTTCCCACATTTATAAAACTTAAAAAAATTTTGCTTAATTTTTGTTCATTATTTTATCCATTGTAATTGTGTTTTTTCATAAATGAGCCACAGAATGTTACAGATGAAAATAAAAGAAATAATGTTTAAGGAAAGTATTTTTCTCATATTTAAAAATTTTAGAGAGAGTTGCTAAAAGCGGTATTTTTCCTACAAAGGTCTTGGAGAAGTGGCCAAAACAATGTATACACATGTAAGTACATGTAAAAACGACAAAATAAAATTTTTAAAAAGTCTTGGAGAACATTTTACTTTGAAATATCTGAATATTTTATCTTGTTGGTAATATATACTACTGAAATAATATGTGTGAATGAATCAATATATCTGTCTTCTTTTTCAAGACTTTCTCATATCTTCACATAGTATGTCAAATAGATGGTAACAAAGTCATTTATTCATACAATCTTTGAAGAGTTCTTACACTAGTTAAGCATTTTGTTAAGATACGACGACATATGATTGTATAGATTCAGATCTAGATCTTGAGTGCTCAAAATTCTGAAGAAGTAACCATGTTAAAGATATTTCACTAAGTTCAGTATTTTCTAACAGAGTATAACCTAATTACCAATGGTCCTACCATTTATATGTATATTTATTATATACATTTATATATATTCAGTACATATGATACTGATAGAGTTGACAGATATTTTCTGCACAGTACCAATTTTTCTGTTAGTTAAAATGTCCTTAAATGAAACAATTTAACATATAAAATGAAGAGCAAAGAAATGGTAGTAATAATAATGCAATTTTCTTAACTCTTAACTCTTTAAAATACCACTAATTTATATAATACATTATATTAGTTTTTTTAAATCGGCATTTTACCCATCCCCAAAGTACTGAAGCAAGAATATTATTCTGGTTTGTGAAGAGGTAAAGTAGGATTAAATAAAACTCCTATTATTGTGTTGTTTTCCTATTTATTCAGGAAAATATTTTCCAGGATGAGGCTAATCAACATTTTGAATAATTTTGAAGTCAATTAAATGAGTATTGTACTATTTCCTTTGAATTTTTAGTAACTTGGAGGTTTTTTTGGCTTATTCTTGAGATTTTCATAGAAATACATGCTCAGTATATTATCTGTCTTGACATTTGTTTATAAATGAAACTCCGTAAGACAGATTTAAAGGGAATGCTGAATCATACTTTAAGGGATCATTTGTTACACAAAGTCTAAATAACTACTTAAAGTAAAAAGGAAGAACTAAGAGAAATCGCCATTTCTGTTTTTCCTTTTATCTTACCTCTCTGCCTCTGTAAAATGTACTCTACTGAACTGGAAACTGGTTGTAACCTGCCATATCCTTTGGGCACAAACCATTCCTGTATTCTTAGTAGACCAGAAGTGCTTTGAAAGTACTTCTGCCTTTTACTCCTGATGCAACCTGAAACAAAACACCTAAGGTGAATTTAATAAGTATTTAATAAATGCTCTTGCCCTTTGACCATTAAGTAAGATGGCTCAGGCATATCTCCTTTATCTCTTATAGTTCCACAGTGGTAACGAGCTTGCATTTCCCAAAGTGTAATCTGTTAAGTCACACAGGCTTTGTCAGGTTTCTTAACTCCTTCCCTTCCTTTCTCATTTCCCCTTGCTTACTGAGATTATACTGCACTCACCATGAAGACATGCTTCAAAGTCTTTGCTAGGATAGTGTATTAGTCTGAGCTCTCCAGAGAAACCTACCAATCACATATAAATGTAAAAAGAACTCTATTTTAAGCAGTTATTCAAATGGTTACTGAAGCTGAGTTCTAAAATATTTAAGGTGAGTCTGGAAGCCAGAGATTCAAGACAGCCATTGGTTTGGTTCCAGAATGAGTCTAATGTCCTGATAACCAAGAATTTCTGGTTTAGTTTCAGTCTAAAAATCCTTAGGCTCAGGATCCAAAAAGGCCTAATGCTTTCATTCCAGTTCTGAGTTAGTTATGAGTAACTGTAATGAAATCCTAAGATCATGAGCTTAATAAGTAAAAGTTTTATTTTGATTCCTGGTTTCAGAGGTCTCAGGGCATAGTTGTTATCTCTGTTGCTTTGGGCCTCGGTGACACGGTACACATGGCAGGAGCACATGGAGATGGGGTCGGTTCACATTCTGGAAGCTGGGAAGCAAAGAGAAAGACGGGAAAGAGCTGGGGTCCCAATATCCCCTTAAAAGGCATGTTCTTGCTTAAAGGGTTGAGAAAGAATGGTTTTGAAACATAATTTCAAAGTATGATATAAGGTCTTGCACAGAATTGTAACTTACTGTTTTTTGTTTGACAAACTTCAGCAATATTTTCTTAAATAAAATAACCTGAAAATTGCATAATTAGTTGATACTCATTTGATTGACTTCAAAGCCAGAGAGAATATAATGCCAAAGCAATTCCATTCTTCTTTCAAGACTGGGGGAATGGTGTTGATAACTGACCATCTGTAGAGGTCACAGCCTGCTTTGTTTATTATAGAGGACATGGAGATAAGAAGGGAACTCAACTGCATGTTGACTATGTGCGGGCCACAAAATGCTGAGATGAGCAAAGTCCTATATGAGTAGATGTATGTTGCCTTTCTGTTTTTAAAATCTTATTTCCATTTCTTTTATGAAATATGTATCTTTGTGTTGATTAAATTGCACTACATGTCATAGAAGATGGAAATATAAATGTCCTAGAGTCTGTTTGAATCTTCTTCAAATAGGGATGATTTTAGGGAGAAATATGTAATTTTCTAACAATTATATTTTAGCAAACAAAGCAAAGTTTTAACTTTTAATAATATAAATAAGTATTCAAGTGATTTTTTTCTCATTATACTTTAAAGGAAGCAGTATGTGCTCAGTGCTTCATTGTTGCATTTTCACAAAGATTTTGTATAATGCTTGAGACAGTCCATCTGATCTTGAGTTCATTAAGGGTTTCTTGTTGTGAGTCCTTGGTAGTTTATAACAATGAAATTGTTGACATTCAAAGGCACATAAATGCATTCAGTCCAACTAATAGTATTCATAACTATCTAGATAGTTGAAGAAACAATAAATGAAATACTTGATATTCATCTGAACCAAGTTTGCAATTTCATTTTTAATTCCAGATTTTAGTGGAGCTCCTAAGATATTCAGATGTTTTTGTAGATTTGCATGAACAGGGTAGCAGCTTCTAAAAATTGCACACTGTTTCATTAGATATAAGCAATTGCTTATGAATATATGCAATTATATAAAGAATGTTGGATATATATGCATATATTAAATATATAATATCATGTATGACTAACAACCTTACTTAATATTCTTTTTTCTAGACACACCATCAGTTAAGATTATACCATCCACTCCTTTTCCACAAGAAGGACAGTCCTTAACTTTGACTTGTGAATCCAAAGGAAAACCACTGTAAGTGATTTTATAAGCAGAAGAGGATTTTACTCTTTTTTTCATCTTGGTTTGATTTTGGTTTTTAATGATAGAAATCTACTGTTTTTGTCTTTTTCTTGGTTGGCAATGTGAACTCTAGAACCAAGTCTTCATTAAGTGTCTGTGGTAGATTGGGTTTTATTTTGTCATGTAGAGAAGTTTCTGGGAATGTTTCCAGCTGTGATTTTTTTTTCCTTTTTTTTAATATACTTACAGTAAGATACTTCAACCTGAAAAGAATGTAGGCTTAATCAGTCACTATTTATATCACTAGACTGATAAAACTTATACATTGCTGAACTTAGTTTTTCTATGAAAAACTAAAAAAGTTGAAGCATCTTGAAACATGCCCAAGTTTTAAATGGGGAATCATTTTCACAATATGACAAATCAAATGTACATTTCTAGTTTAGTATCCAAAGTAACATAATTTGTGAATTTGGTTTGCTTCCAAGAAAAGTAAATGGGAAAAGATCCGGAGCTCCAAGTTACCAATTATAATTTCCCTATTAGAATTAATGTACACGAATGTCATCCTCACTCTAAAATTTTCCTTTTTGTCATTCATGTTTATAAACAGTTTAATCACAGGATATCAACTTTTTATGCAAAATTTAAATGTGGATAATACAAATATGGGTAATTCAATACTATTTGAAAGTGATATGATTTTTCTAATACAATAGCACTTTAGGTCTAGCTGTATGTAATTTGTTCCATTTGAATACCTTCAAATTGATTTCATTTTGTTTAAATTTTAGTAAAAGAAATTTGCATCTGTATATAGCAATATGGAACAGCTTCTGTAAAAATCATGTTAATTTACTAAAAATTTGCTTTTAATAATATTTAATTATTCAGGTATAGGTATCATATTATTCCATGAGGAATTTACTGTAAGACAGAAGTCTGTTATTTTAACTCCTTTTTTGTTTTGTAGTCATACTTAGGGAATCAATGTTTTTTTTTAATCACAATTTTGATGCTTTAAAATTGGTCCTTCATAGTAATTATATTCTAATGATAAAATAACTGGTTTAAGTAGAAATTTATAGATTAAACTATTAGTTTCCTGTCTTTAAAAATATTTGAAGTCATATTAGAACTCATAAACAACACATTTTTTACATCCTAATTTATAAAATTTAATGCTTCCAATCACCAGATGGAAAATTCATTTCTGAGAAAAAGGAAGACAATAATTTTATTTGCTGGTAATTTTACTCTAAGGTAAATATTCCATTGATAATAATAAATAGAAACTGAGATTTCTTCTTCAGGGTTGATAAGACAATCAGAATTGGTAGGGATTGTCCAAGTTTGTGATGGTTTTAAACCTCAATTTCACATCAGAATCACTGAAGAAGTTTCTATTAATACTCACCTTTTGATTTTCAGATTCATGCCCATGTAAGGACAGACAGTTCTCATGTATGCTTTACCCCATCCAAAAAATGATGACTGTAGTATAAATATCACAACCAGAATATTGTCACTGATATAATTAGGATAGAGGTCATTTCTATCACCTCAAAGATCTCCCACAATTCCTTTTTATATCCATACCCACTTTTCCTCCCACCTTCAACACCCCGTTATTAATTTCTGGCAACCATTAATCTGTTCTCCATTTCTCTAGTTTTGGCATTTCAAAAATAGTATGTGCATAGAGTCATGCAGCATGTACCTTTTGGGACGGACTTTTTTTTTATTAAAATACTGAGTTTATTTAATATGTATTTGTCTCCCACTATGGGATTAACTTTTGAGTCAGCATGATTCTCTAAGGATTCTTCCAGGAATAGCACATTATTTGTAGTAGTTTTACTATATATATTTTTTTCATTTTTCTTTTATTATTCATATGTGCATACAAGGCTTGGTTCGTTTCTCCCCCCCTGCCCCCACCCCCTCCCTTACCACCCACTCCGCCCCCTCCCGCTCCCCCCCCTCAATACCCAGCAGAAACTATTTTGCCCTTATCTCTAATTTTGTTGTAGAGAGAGTATAAGCAATAATAGGAAGGAACAAGGGGTTTTGCTGGTTGAGATAAGGATAGCTATACAGGGCATTGACTCACATTGATTTCCTGTGCGTGGGTGTTACCTTCTAGGTTAATTCTTTTTGATCTAACCTTTTCTCTAGTACCTGTTCCCCTTTTCCTATTGGCCTCAGCTGCTTTAAGGATCTGCTTTAGTTTCTCTGCGTTAAGGGCAACAAATGCTAGCTAGTTTTTTAGGTGTCTTACCTATCCTCACCCCTCCCTTGTGTGCTCCCACTTTTATCATATGCTCAAAGTCCAATCCCCTTGTTGTGTTTGCCCTTGATCTAATGTCCACATATGAGGGAGAACATACGATTTTTGGTTTTTGGCCAGGCTAACCTCACTCAGAATGATGTTCTCCAATTCCATCCATTTACCAGCGAATGATAACATTTCGTTCTTCTTCATGGCTGCATAAAATTCCATTGTGTATAGATACCACATTTTCTTAATCCATTCGTCAGTGGTGGGGCATCTTGGCTGTTTCCATAACTTGGCTATTGTGAATAGTGCCGCAATAAACATGGATGTGCAGGTGCCTCTGGAGTAACAGTCTTTTGGGTATATCCCCAAGAGTGGTATTGCTGGATCAAATGGTAGATCGATGTCTAGCTTTTTAAGTAGCCTCCAAATTTTTTTCCAGAGTGGTTGTACTAGTCTACATTCCCACCAACAGTGTAAGAGGGTTCCTTTTTCCCCGCATCCTCGCCAACACCTGTTGTTGGTGGTGTTGCTGATGATGGCTATTCTAACAGGGGTGAGGTGGAATCTTAGTGTGGTTTTAATTTGCATTTCCTTTATTGCTAGAGATGGTGAGCATTTTTTCATGTGTTTTTGGCCATTTGAATTTCTTCTTTTGAGAAAGTTCTGTTTAGTTCACTGCCCATTTCTTTATTGGTTCATTAGTTTTGGGAGAATTTAGTTTTTTAAGTTCCCTGTATATTCTGGTTATCAGTCCTTTGTCTGATGTATATTGGCAAATATTTTCTCCCACTCTGTGGGTGTTCTCTTCAGTTTAGAGACCATTTCTTTTGATGAACAGAAGCTTTTTAGTTTTATGAGGTCCCATTTATCTATGCTATCTCTTAGTTGCTGTGCTGCTGGGGTTTCATTGAGAAAGTTCTTACCTATACCTACTAACTCCAGAGTATTTCCTACTCTTTCTGTATCAACTTAAGAGTTTGGGGTCTGATATTAAGATCCTTGATCCATTTTGAGTTAATCTTGGTATAGGGTGATATACATGGATCTAGTTTCAGTTTTTTGCAGACTGCTAACCAGTTTTCCCAGCAGTTTTTGTTGAAGAGGCTGCTATTTCTCCATCGTATATTTTTAGCTCCTTTGTCAAAGATAAGTTGCTATAGTTGTGTGGCTTCATATCTGGATCCTCTATTCTGTTCCACTGGTCTTCATGTCTGTTTTTGTGCCAGTACCATGCTGTTTTTATTGTTATTGCTTTGTAATATAGTTTGAAGTCAGGTATTGTGATACCTCCTGCATTGTTCTTTTGACTGAGTATTGCCTTGGCTATTCGTGGCCTCTTGTGTTTCCATATAAATTTCAGTAGATTTTTCAATCTCTTTAATGAATGTCATTGGAATTTTGATGGGAATTGCATTAAACATGTAGATTACTTTTGGGAGTATCGACATTTTTACTATGTTGATTCTACCAATCCATGAGCATGGGAGATCTCTCCACTTTCTATAGTCTTCCTCAATCTCTTTCTTCAGAAGTGTATAGTTTTCCTTGTAGAGGTCTTTCACATCTTTTGTTAGGTTTACACCTAGGTATTTGATTTTTTTTGAGGCTATTGTAAATGGAATTGTTTTCATACATTCTTTTTCAGTTTGCTCATTGTTAGTGTATAGAAATGCTAATGATTTTTCTATGTTGATTTTATATCCTGCTACCTTGCTATAGCTATTGATGATGTCTAGAAGCTTCTGAGTAGAGTTTTTTGGGTCTTTAAGGTATAGGATCATGTCATCTGCAAATAGGGATATTTTGACAGTTTCTTTACCTATTTGTATTCCTTTTATTCCTTCTTCTTGCCTAATTGCTCTGGCTAGGAATTCCAGTACTATGTTGAATAGGAGTGGAGATAGTGGGCATCCTTGTCTGGTTCCTGATTTTAGAGGGAATGGTTTCAGTTTTTCTCCGTTAAGTATAATGCTGGCTGTAGGTTTGTCATATATAGCTTTTATAATGTTGAGGACTTTCCTTCTATTCCTAGTTTTCTTAGAGCTTTTATCATGAAATGATGTTGGATCTTATCAAAGGCTTTTTCTGCATCTATTGAGATGATCAAGTGGTTTTTGTCTTTGCTTCTGTTAATGTGGTTTATTACGTTTATTGATTTTCGTATGTTGAACCACCCCTGCATCCCTGGGATGAAGCCTACTGGTCGTGGTGAATAATCTTTTTGATGTGTTGAATTCGGTTTGCCATTATTTTGTTGAGGATTTTTGCATCAATGTTCATTAAGGAGATTGGCCTATAGTTCTCCTTTTTGGAGGTGTCTTTGCCTGGTTTTGGGATAAGTGTAATACTGGCTTCATAAAATGTGTTTGGCAGTTTTCCTTCCCTTTCTATTTCATGGAACAGTTTAAGGAGGGTTGGTATCAGTTCTTCTTTAAAGGTCTGATAGAATTCAGCAGAGAATCCATCAGGTCCTGGACTTTTCTTTTTGGGGAGACTCTTGATTGCTGCTTCAATTTCATTTTGTGTTATAGGTCTATTCAGGTGATTAATTTCCTCTTGGTTCAGTTTTGGATGATCATATGTATCTAGAAATCTGTCCATTTCTTTAGATTTTCAAATTTATTTGAATATAGGTTCTCAAAGTAGTCTCTGATGATTTCCTGGACTTCCATGGTGTTTGTTGTTATCTCCCCTTTTGCATTCCTGATTCTACTAATTTGGGTTTTTTCTC